AAAATAGTTATTTTTTAAAATGTTCTTAATTTTAAATTGTATATTTAATAAATTTTATAAAATTAGGAAAGTAATTAAAAATTATTTATGGCTTGAAACGACAATCTCGTATGTGTTTATATTAAAAAAGTTTCATAAATATTTTTTAAAAATATTTAAAGATATTAATGTCATTTTTAAAAGTTTTATGAATAATTTTTAAATAGAAATAAATTTACGAATATTTGAAAGCTTATTTTTTTAAACATTTTTAAAAATTTAAAAGTATTTAATTTAAATTAGGGTATTTTTAATAACTTAATTAGGTGAAAATGATCTAATTAAAATATGATTAAAAAAATCAACCAATTATTTTTTAAAAAAAATAATGAAATAATTAAAAGAAAAGAAATCCGACATTCGTCTCCGAAATGAAGTGAGGGTTTTAGGCAGCCATCCGCCAAAATCGTATTCAGAATCGGGAACTGTAAGAACGAGCGAGCCGTAGACTCAGAGGGCTCGACGAAGCAATCGCAATGGGTTGGATTGGCGACACCGTCGGCTCCATTAAATCTATTCAGATCCGTCAGCTCCTTACTCATGCCGTCAGTCTTGGTGCGTATGCTCTTTTCGGTCTCTTAACTATTGCCTTTATTAACCCATTTTCGTGCTCGATCTGTGTCCTGCGATCGAGAATTGTTTGTATTTGGTTGCTCAACGCTGGTAGTCTCACAGACCTTGTTTTTGTTTATTGCAAACAAATTCAGGAAATTATGTAATTTCTTCGTTTGAATTGTTTTCATACCCTTCTTGTTTTCAAGTGGATTCTGCACATTTCAGCATCATGCTGAAATGTTCTTGCAATTCTTTGTTAGTCCGAATATTCAGTCCAAACGCATTTAGTAGAGCTCTTTCTCTTTCAGGTTTGATCGTTACATCTGCTCTTATAATCTGGAAGGGATTGATGTGCATCACTGGCAGCGAGTCCCCTGTTGTTGTCGTCTTGTCTGGAAGCATGGAACCTGGCTTCAAGAGGGTAAGTAATCATATTAGTTTTGATAATCCACGAGGATTCTTTTGAGGAGAATCACTCCATATAATCAAGATTCATTATATAGAAAGTGGAGTGATTGGGGAAGAGGCATCTTTCTCTCTCAATAAAGGGTTTTTGTAGAAAGAGGGAGTGGAATTAGGGAAGAGGACACAGTATTTGGAGAAAGTTTTTATGGTCAGTGGTCAACCATTGGAGTGAAGAATCCTTCCTCCCTTTCTCCCGTTTTTGAGTTCTAATAGTTGTTGGGTGGAGGATCTAATCATCGACCTTGGGATAGTAATTGGTGTCATATTCATTGATTGTGAGATCCCATATCAGTTGGAGAGGGGAACGAAGCATTCCTTATAAGGCTGTGGAAACCTCTCCCTAACATATGTGTTTTAAAACCTTATGAGGAAGCCCCGAAGGGAAAGCCCAAAGAGGACAATATCTACTAGCGGTGGGCTTGAGCCGCTACAAATGGTATTAGAGCCAAACATCGGGCGGTGTGCCAGGCAGTGGATTGTGAGATCCCACATCGGTTGGAGAGGGGAACGAAGCATTCCTTATAAGGGTGTGGAAACCTCTCCCTATGTTGGGCTCCCAAGGGGGGTGGATTGTGAGATCTCACGTCGGTTGGAGAGGGGAACAAAGCATTTCTTATAAGGGTGGGGAAACTTCTCCCTAGTAGACGCGTTTTAAAACCTTGAGGGGAAGCCTGGAAGGGAAAGCCCAAAGAGGACAATATCAATATATGCTAGCGGTGGACTTGGGCTGTTACATTGAGTCATACTCGATTGGCGATTTCTTTCCCTTTCTAAAGAGTAGTTTCCCTTTCTAAAGAATTCTTCGGCAATTAGGGATTTTTCTTGGAGAGAAATAAAAGGGTTTATTGTCAACTGTTTACTGATGGATTGGGGATTTTTAAGCTGCATGTTGTAGCCTTGCTTTTGATCTCTATTTATCCTCAAGTATTTTTGTACGGCTTTGTGTGGGGATTACGAGTCTCGTGTGAAGGAAGATACTCATTACTTACCCCACATGTTCTCTTTAACATTATCCTTTCTCATCTGTCTCATCTAATCACAGCAATGTATACTGTTGTTCAGGGTGATATTTTGTTCTTGCACATGAGCAAGGATCCTATTCGTACTGGGGAGATCGTCGTTTTTAATGTTGACGTAAGTATTTGGTGGCTATCAAGCTTGAAATTCATTATTTTTAGCTTTCACCTCTGGCTACTAGGTTTTCCAACGCTGGATTTTCTTATGCAATCAGAAGGCATATGAAGTTCTATTGAACTGATGTGTTCTTTTGTTGTCTGTCTTGTTCAGGGCCGTGAAATTCCAATCGTTCATCGTGTAATTAAGGTGAATTCAGTGTACTGATCATTTGACCAAATCTTAATCTCCTTTGAAACTAGAGTTACCATTTTATTCAAGAATGAATCGTATCTATTCCACCACTTGCTACACTCTCCAAAAGTGTGCACTTTGAGTTCTTGAAGACAGATTTTAGTTCTTGAAAACAGAATGTGCTAGTTTTGATGTTTCTTTAAATGGAGTATCAGCAAAGTCATGCTGTGGGTCTGATCTAAGAATCTCATACGTGCCAACCGAATTAATCGGAGTTTTTCATTTTGCAGGTTCACGAACGTCAGGATAGCGGAGAAGTCGATGTACTTACTAAAGGTGCCAGCTTGTAGGACATTATATAGAACAAATTGTTGTGAATTTGAATAGTTGTTCTTAGAAACCTCTATGATTAGGAAGAGTTTTTTCAATGATATCATGATTCATACCGCTGCGCTCCTATAACACTTACCTTTGTGGTATCAGGAGATAACAACTATGGTGATGACAGACTCTTGTATGCACAAGGTCAGCAATGGCTTCAACGGCACCACATCATGGGCAGAGCTGTTGGGTAAAAATTTTGCACACCTTTTATTTTCTGCTCTTTAACTGCTTAAAAATTGGAATGTCATTCCAAGCATGCCATATATGCATGTGAGATCCCACATTGGTTGGAGAGGGAAACTAATCGTTTCTTATAAGCGTGTGGAAACCTCTTTTTAGTAGATGTGTTTTAAAATCTTGAGGGCAAGCCCTTGAAGGGAAAGCCGAAAGAGGACAATATTTTTCAACGGTGGGCTTGGACTGTTACAAATGGTATTAGAGCCAGACATCGGGCAGTGTGCCAGCGAGGACACTGGGCCCCAAGGGAGGTGGATTTTGAGATCCCACATGGGTTGGGGAGAGAAACAAAGCATTCATTTTAAGGGTGTGAAAACCTCTCCCTAGCAGACACGTTTTAAAACTTTGAGGAGAAACCCTTGAAGGGAAACCCAGCAGTAAGCTTGGGCTGTTACAAATGGTATCAAAGCTAGACAACGGGTGGTGTGCCGGCGAGGACACTGGGCCCTAAGGGGATGGATTGTGAGATCCTACGTTGGTTGGAGAGGGGAACAAAACATTCCTTATAAGGGTGTGAAAACCTCTCCCTAGCAATTGTGTTTTAAAACCTTGAGGAGAAGTCCTTGAAGGGAAAGCCTACAGAGGACAATATCTGCTAGCGGTAGGCTTAGCCTGTTACAATACACTTTTAATTTTTTAGTTTCGCGAGGAAGAAGTTATTACTAATCTGTATGCGGGTGTTTTTTAGCTTCAAAAGTTTATGATAAGCTTTCCATGTGGCTTGTGATATGTTGTTTTCTATGTTCTTGTGGCTATGTTTATAAATTCCCTTTTTGTTCAAAAAAATGTGTGCTGGTTGACTAAGAAAACAAATCTCTTCATGACTGATCCTCAGGTTCTTACCATACGTCGGATGGGTGACTATAATCATGACAGAGAAGCCAATTATCAAGGTCAGCAAATATTTTCACCCTCCCACTGTCAATTCGTTTTTACATTCCCCATTCAGTAAAAAAAGGTTAAGGCTGTTTCTTGAAGATTTGTGCTGAAGTTATACGTGTTTCTTGCAGTATATTCTCATTGGTGCATTGGGATTGCTTGTGATAACTTCCAATGATTGAGAGACACTGTATCAAAGCGAGACAAGTATTTGACAATAACCACAGAGGAGTTGATGAGAATCAATGCCAGCAAACAAACTAGCTTATTATCTTGGTTTTCTCATTCTCTTGTAGGAAGAAACCCCAAATTCCATATAATATAAACTCACATCAGATTGATCCTTTGAGTCAAACTAGCAGCATTTACAGAGTTAAAAAATCGACTTAAAAGAAGCGTCCCGAGGCCTATTGCAAGGTCACGCTTGAGCTCCTAGATCTATGGTTTCCAAGACTAAAATAATCAATCGAGACAAATAATCAAAACGACCATCGTCTACTCTATCAAAAGATGGGTTACAGTTATAGTTGATAAGTAAGCCGACTCCCTCACCATCCACAAAAACGCTTCAGGTCGGAGATTTCGTATTCGAAAGAATCGTATAACAAGGGAAGAACCTTTTTGTTCCCGACATTCTACTCAAGATCATTAACAAAAAGTCCAGTTTCTGAACTGGAAGGAATGAAAGCGGCCCGCATGAAAAATTGAGTCTTCATTGTTTTTTTTTTTTTTTTTTTTTTTTTGGCAANACTTCAGAACTTAACCAGATAGCGCTGTTGGGGGGTAAGAGTCCAAGGATCAACACAAAACGTTGCTAGCACACGAAAATTTTGATGACTTCTCCATGTAGATACTCGTGGACTAACCTGAAGTTCTTGAACGTTTTGTCGAGATAGGAAGGTGCGATTCGTGAGAGCACCTTGCCTCGAGCTATTCAACGGTTTAGATTGGGGACTCGGTTCTCCGGCGTCGGTTCTGATCCGATCTCCTCCCCTTCCTCAAAACCCTAATCTTCTTTCCCTCTTCTTTCTCTTTTCCCCATTTTAACTCAGCCAAAACAAACCCCTCAACTTATAGGGGCGAAATGACTAGTTTGCCCCTATTGTAACCATTTTTTTTTTTTTTTTTTTTTTTTTTTTGGGCAACAGGGTGATGATTATTCTGCTGAAAGCTAATGGCTAATGTGGCTCTTTGCTTTCTGCAGAACTCCCTTCAAAACAACAGCAATTCTTTGGCTCATGTGCTGTTCCAGAAACATTTGCCTCACCCTCTCGTATCCTTTCTTTCCGATGGTCAGCCTTCTCTCGACGTCCGTCGCTAACTTCACGATGTTCTGTGCCAGTGGAGTTACGCCTTCTTTGCCTGCAGGATGCAGCAAACCTGTCGTCCCGTTCACTACGATCTCCATTGTTCCTCCAGCAGCCGTGCCCTTGACATACATGTTATGTTTTGGACAATGCACCAGAATTCATCAGATATGTAGAGGGGATAGTATATAGTATTCTTTGAAACGCCATTGCTTCAGAAATGTACGAGGTAGACAACTTACCAGCACGGGCAGCTGAAACGCCATTGCTTCAATTGTTATCCTTCCAAAGCATTCTCCTCTACCCTACACACATACGGTAAATTGCAGCTTTGAAGGCTAAGAAATATCAAATCGGATGCGTTTTACCATAAAACGAGAAGAAAAGGGAAAAAGAATATGAAAATATAAATCAAAATCCAGATATCATAGTGTAACAGCCCAAATTCACCGCTAACAGATATTGTCCTCTTTAGACTTTTCCTTTCGGGTTTACCCTCGAGGTTTTTAAAATACATCGGCTAAGAAGAGGTTTCCACACCCTTATAAGGAATGTTTCATTCCCCTCTCCAACCGACGTGGGATCTCACACGTAGATTACACTATATGACTAGAGATTTACTTCGTGAACCCAATTATAGTGTAGTCCTGACTTCTTGTTCCATTGATAGGCGAAGGTTTAGAAAGTTAGAAATAATCTCATAATACTAAAAAAAAAAAAAAGAAACTCTTGCAGGAAAGCTAACATTTTATGCAATAGGGAAGGTCTTCAAAAGAAAAATGGGGAGAAAGAAAGATAGAAGAGGGAAACAACCCGTTGAACTAATGATCGAATAGGCAAAACCGTGATTAACCATCTAGTCAAGGAAAGACGAGCAAATGGAACTAGCAGGAACATAAACAAAGAATCTCGCATACTTTCTCGAACGCATATGGGTGCATTTTAAACAGTCATAGTACCTGAGAGTTTTGAACAAGAACGTCAATGGAAGCTAGATAAGGAGTCACAGACAGGGTTTTGTTGACAAAATGAACACGATCCTGAATTTTGTTCTCATTTACAAAGTTGCGCAGTTCTGTTTCAAACTTTGTTTGAGCACTCATGTCACTGCCAACTACCACTGCATGTATCCTAGGTACCTGCAGCTTTTTATCTTGGATCATTTGCAGACTCTGATGAAAGGCTCGGAGAAATAAATCCTGACCTTTCCCACGTGAAACGCCTGGAATCGCATCGATCACATGTCGCAATACAATTCATTGAAAATTAAGCCAAATAAAAATCAAATTAGTTCACGAAATACAAAACTGCATTATTTCATAGAAAGGGCCGAAAGAGGCATCATTCCATTTCATTATTGGAGCTGGAGGAAATAAGGTTCCCGAGACACGACAAATTAGTCGACAAAGAGCATCCCAAATACAGGAGAGAATCCTATTATTCTTGAGGAAAAAATTCATTTTTAAATGAGAGAGAACAAAACTTTGTATGATTTTTCCCACATCTTTAAATATCATAGAATTGAACTTCATTCAAATATGATATCAATGGTTCTTTTCTTACTCAGTCGGAGTTCTAAACTCAGAAAACATTCAATTGTAAACAATATCGATAGAAGACGTTTATGATCAGGAATATGAGCTTACTGTTTATAATTGCAAACAATATATCTTCATTCCGAACTCCAAGGGACTCACGAATATGCTCTCGAAGAACCCTCTTGGCCACATTATTTTCAGCCACTTCCATAAGGTCTTTACTATTTCCAAGATGCACGACATAAGTTTCAGGCATTTTTATCCTGGAAAACATAAATAAAAACTTCAGATTATGACCAAAGGATCTAGGAGAGTGTTCACGGTGCATTGCAAAATGATCAATATATTTAAATTTGAACAATACAAAACGCACAACATGAGGGGAAAAAGAAGAAGATCATCCGAGATCTGAATTATAATTTGCACTCGATTTTTAAACAAAAGCATATGCCTCTATACCTCCCCAAGCTAGCTTATGATTATACTTAGTAAAAGAATCGGCTATATACGTAGGAAAATTCATGTCGTAACTGAAATCATACCCTAATCGTTCTCGTGTTCTGTTTTTCCAGTATTCTGCAGTTGTATGTGAATCAATCATGGCACCTGCAACAAAAGGAAGGTGCTTCACATACTCAACCTTGAAATAGTTCCCTCGCATCTCATGAATCCACCACAGAACCTTGGGAAGAACACGAGGAACATTCTCCTTGAGGACTGCATCCAACCATTTCCCAGCAACAGCGGTATTTAGAACAACCAAATCAGCTTTTAGAGCAGTTTCAACAGCTTCTTGTCCCTTAGCAGATAATACCTTAAGAACGAAAATATGCTATCGACTTAAGAACAAGTAGAATTCGCTACGAAAATATGCTATCAACTTAAGAACAAGTAGAATTCGCTACGAAAATATGCTATCAACTTAAGAACAAGTAGAATTCGCTACGAAAATATGCTATCAACTTAAGAACAAGTAGAATTCGCTACAAAAATATGCTATCAACTTAAGAACAAGTAGAATTTGCTAGGTAGTCTACTAATTTAACCTCAGTAGCTAGAATATAAACAACTGGATCATTACTTATGATCTAATGGAAGCCAAAACAATATAATTGAGCATAATTTTCAGTCCAACACATCAAGAATTTAATCACATACGAAGAATTACACTAATCAAAGAGTTCCCGAAGTGCAGATAATTCAAAAAGATTAAGGTAACCTGCACTCCTCGATCTAACATCTTGCGCTCCAAACTGTATGCTACTTCATCGGGCTCCGATGGCTTTTGATTGGTGATCCAAACAACTTCAGTACCGACGCCTCTCAACAAAAATGCAAGCTCCATGAGTAGTAGAGGCCCACCTGTAGCCAAACTAAGAGCTCTTGGTCAATTTTCTAGAAAAAATTCCTTCCAATGGCAATGGCTAGGTGGTTTATCAAGAAAATAGGATTTCAATAATACCAGAAAGGGAGAGCTCATGAGAGACCAAGAGGACAAGCTTCGATTTCATGAAATCAAGAGGATTCGGATTCGGATTCGGATCTTTTCTCTCAATCTGGGAGGAGCGAATCTGTGAATCGATACCATTTTCTTCCACAAATCGTCTATTCACATTGCCGCTACAAGAATCGAACGTAGTCCTCATGAAGAAAACCATTGCGGTGGAAATGGAAACCAGTGCTAAGATCATCAACGGCCATCTCATCTTCGCCATTGTAAGAGTTAAAAACGGACGTTTCATCATTCGTATCGTAGGTGGTTGATGGAGAAGGTGGGAATTCAACGATTCAACACGCATAAGCTAATCGCAATTCAGCAAAGCCCTCGATTCAGTGAACAAATTCGCACAAGGGCGCGGGAAGATGGAATGAACAATCGAAGATCTTGCAGGAGGGGGAAGAACCCCATAAATTCAACCAAGTAATACGACAATCTGGAGAATTGGGAACAAGAAATCCGAGAAAATTCAAGAACTAAAGATTAAAATTGAATTCTTAAGATTAAAATTTATATAACTTTATTGGTCAAAATTGATTTTACTGCTATAAAGTTAAATTAGTCCCCATTGCCCACTTGAGCTTCCGTCGAGAACGTGTACTCTCGACTAAGAATGTCTACGGGACGGGGCGGGAATGAGAAGCCTTCACTATAACCATCCCCGTCTTCTGACAGCAAAATTCTCTACCTTATTTTTGTGGGGATTAGGGTGTGATTCAACCTTAAGAAATTTGCAGGAATGAGTTTCTGATATCATTTTTCGTTTATTATTATTTTTTTAAATAGTTATTTTAAATTTTTCATTTTTTAATATAATCTTTATTAAATATTATTAATAGAATATCAAAATTAATTAATTTATTCTTTAAAAAGTATTATATATATATAATATTTGTTGAAAATATATTTATACTAAGCGTGACGATGACAGGATAAGGAATTTGATGGAGACAGGGACGAGGACGGAAAATATAATCTTGTCCCCGACCCCATATAACTAAAGGGAAAAAAATGTTCATGACTCCCTCCTCTATTTCCCGTTTAGGGCAAAATCCCGTAAGTAAAAAAAACATTTGTACTCTTGACCTACAGACAAGAGATTCAAACTAAGTCGTAATTAATATGTAACATATTGTATCGGTGAGAATTCAAAAATTACAAGAATTGCATTACAACCCCTTATTTGTTTGGAAAACTCCAAACAAATTACACTTATTTGCAATTATATCCCCAATTTTCCAACAAATTACACTTCTTAAACTATAAATTTGCACCATATACCCTTATATACATTGTATATTTAAATTTTATCTTCTGTGATGAACAAGAGCAGAGTTTCAAACTACAAAATCGTGCAACATATTTGAGCTGGTGAGCCTGCATTGATGATGCCTTTCTGGTTCCAAACATGGCAAATCTTGTGCCTCAAGCTCCACTGAACCAACCATTCTGTTGGTACTACTCCCAAACATCCCAAATTCATCACCTTCACAATGCTTCAACTCCAGCGCAAGTGAAACGTCTCCTCCGACCGAGAAGTTAGTCGACTTGATCATGTCGTTGGTAGAACATGAGGGGTAGAGGACTTGCTCGTGCAACTCGTGTAACTCGTCCCCTCCTCTATCTTCGGAGAATAGTGAATTGTTCCATGAGGCTTTGGATGCATTTTCTGGTGAGGATTTGATGTCGTCCATGTTCGAGTCTCCGAATTCTTCTTTGTACATCTCCTCGACCATTGGTTTCCATAGCCGAACACGTGCGTTTATAAACCAGTTCGCAACCTAAATGAAACAAAAACGAGATGTATAAGAATATATACACATATGCCGTTCGGATCCACAAGCAGATGGTTGAGTTTAGAGGCCGAAATATCGAGTTTTCGGTTGAGGATTAAAGACATTACTTGGTTTCTGGTCAGGCCAGTTTGTCTTGATAGCTTAAGCTTCTCTGAATCCTTGGGATATCTATGGACAATAGCCAAAAACAAATGTAAACATGGCTAATCCAGATGTTGAGAATGTGTACTAGGAGTTTAGAGGGCATACGGATGGAGGAAGTGTTCGAACAGCCAAGCGCGAAGAATCGACACAGAGCTTTCGGGAAGCCCTCGTTGAGGCCTCCAACTATGTGGCGTGACACCGAGCTGTTGAAGTGCCCTCTGTTGCCTGAGGTGCTGGTCGACAAAGCGGAGACGGGGAATGCCTTCTTGAACAAAATGGGAAGTATCTTGCTCCCCCAATGTTCTCCTGGTGACCTCAATCTGTGCATTGATTGCATCTTGCAAGCGTCGAAAGTGACACGAAATAGTCTGGTGTGCAAGCGCAGTGTAGAACTCTGCAGCCCCCCGGCCTGCTACCGTGTCGAAAGATGACGACAACAATTGCAGATGTTCGTAATATTGCTTGTATCTTCGATCCACCTGCAAAACGTTTGACAAAGATATAGATATCAAACCGTTTGAGAAACTAGTTGGATTGGAAAACAATCCTCAACAGCAGATAGAAGAGTAATAGGAACTTCTACAATGTCAGCAAGTTTTCATATGAACAATTTGAGCTAGAACAAAGCATCTAACATAAACAAATTGAGCTGGAACACATCAAGAAGCTGTTGCCTTACCTCACCCAACAAGGACAAAAGCTTTGAGTTTTTGCTCTTCAAATTCTGTCGTTCGGTAGGCGATAAATCACGCAACGAATTCGCGATTGACGACTCCCTCGAACCGGAACATATCTCCCCATTCATATCATTACATCCCCCATCATTTTCTCTACAGAAATCAACACCCAAACCACTGGAACCTTTGAGTTTCCTAGACTTCAGCTCTTTCAAAGCTTCCCGGATGCTAACCATTTCGTCGAGCACCTGCTGTGCAGCTTCGACGTATACCAAATTCAATGTCGAATTCCCAGATCCCGCCGCTATATGCATACCATTATAAGGTTTTGGATTCAGCCTCTTCTCGAAGATCGAAGAAGATGCATTAATGAATGAAGAAGCCATAGCAGGGGTTTGATATTGGTGAGGAAATGAAGACATAGAAACAACAGAGGGTGAGTGTGTGGAAAGGCTAAGTGAAACACCCTGACATTGAAAATTTGGATCATCTAAAATTCCCACTACTGGTGGAATGAAAATTATTTCACCATTACTTCTATCTCCCACAGATTCAATATAGTTTGAAGAAACCCCAGAAAAAACCTCTGAATAATCTCTGCAAGAAGGGTCCTGATTCTTCATGAACATCATCAAATTCCCAGAACAGAGTGGCTGTTCTTGGGAAGAACAACCAATTTTCTGGTCATCACCTAACATGGAGTCTCTTTGAGTGCTTAAACCAGGAAACAAACAGTTCTTAATCTACCAAAAAACACAAATCAACTCACAGAGAGATCAAACAAAACCTAGTTCAGAAAGAGTTCGTATGAAGAATCTGGATCAAAGAATCAAAAGAATCAAAGATGAAGAACAAAGAAGATGCTGATGATTACCCTGGAACCCCAATGATGCGATCGTAGTGGGAGGCATGAGAAAGACCCAAATTCCCAAAATGGAGACCAACACAAATCCCAAGAGATTCACAAGACGCCATTAAATATAATGAATCAATAATCACAAAAGCCCTAAAGAAGAAGGAACACAGATTCTTCGCTTTCTCATAATTGGAACAACGACACCAACACCAACTCGACAAGAAAGCAATAAATTATTAAAAGACATATTAAAGAACCGAGAAGCGCAGCACCAACAACTTTGAAATATTTTATAAGGATTAAAAGTCATCGTCAATCCCAATCATTCAATGCCTTCTCTCACGTGTGGAAAAAGCTACATAGAGAAAGAAGAAGAAGAAGACGGAGATGGTGGGTGGTTGCTTAAAAGGATTCTTCAAACCCTAACCACCAGTTGATGAACCTAAAACCCATGGCTTAATCCTTCTTTTGAAGCATAAATTTGACACCAAACCCTCTCTGTTTCGTTTGTTTATATGTAACAACTTGAATCACCCACCGTCTCATCCACCCACCGTCGTTAGCTACTAAAGGATCTTCACCAACTAGAACAATCGACCGCCGAAACGCTTGAACGAGCATCGCCTGAAGAAATGTGTCGCCAAACATGACCGCCAATTGATCCTCTGAACTTCCTCGTCGCCACATTGCGCGGGCCATGTCGAAAGTCTCTAGCTAATGCCGCACATCATCCATTTGGAGGGACCAAGGATCCGTTCCAAATTTGAGTAGTATGATATTGTCCATGAACATTTCTCATGATTTGTTTGCCTCAAACTTTGAACTTAAGTTCTCGAAAATAAAAAATATTTTTTGATTATAAATTCACATAAACTTTCATCTTCCAACTACAAATTTGATTTTGAAATATATTAATTTTTTTTTTTACAATTTTTTTATAAAGATTTTATTATATATTAAAAAATGAAAATTTTAAAACAACTTTTTCGAATTCTCTCTATATTGTAATTTTTTAAAATAAAACAATTATTTTTCGACTAAAATTTATAATATTTTGCCACCCTCAAATAAGATGTGGGATAGAATAAAATTAAATTAATTTATTACAAAAAAAAATCAAGTAATTTATATTATTTTTAAAAATTTTAAATTTTTTAAAAAATGAGCAATTATATATTTAAGGCGCATTTTAAAAATGGATATTAGGATAATTCTAACATGTCCCTTAACCCACTAATCCAAGAGTCCGGCTAAATTGGGCCTACAACCCGAGAATATTTGAATGTTTTTGTTTTTAAATATATAATGAAACATTTTTATAATTAATTAAATTGGAATATAGTTCACAACCCAATTCAACCCTCCATTTATGGGTTGAGTTGTTGGATTGTCGTGTTTTTTTTTATTATTTAAATATTTAATCAAAATACACGTTATATATCAATAGCTAAAATTTCATAAAATACTAAAATCTCATAAAATTTAAATATTTTTTTATTATTATTTAAATATTTAATCTTAAAATCTCATAAAATACTAAAATCTCATAAAATTTAAATATCAAACATTAATTTTTTTTTATTTAAATATTTAATCAAAATACATGTCATATTAATAACTAAAATCTCATAAAATTTAAATATCAAATATTAAATATTTTTAATTTTTTAAGGTAGGATTGGATTGTAATGGTTAGAATCCACAACAACGCATACACTCAATCTAGATGAACACCAAATAACAGGATAGAGAAAATGCAAGGAGAAGCTAAAGAATTTATATTGATGACTTCAAGTGGTAGAATAATACAGAAAGTACCTTTTTTTTTTTTTCTACGAAGACCAGATATATATGGTTTAGCTTACTATATTTAGGCTTACCAAATATAACTATATAACTATTAATTATGACCATTTTACTATACGTTTACTACATGACCTGACAGTAATGCTATTTTAGGGTTTGGCTCGTGTGATCCAACTAAAAAATGTCAGCCCCACAATTTGATGGACTTTCAGTTTTC